AGATCTGCTGGGGGAAGGGGACACATTCCACAACACAAAAATCTCCTGCCACTTTCTAACTAGGTCATTCCCAGCTACATCTGAGAGCCGAGGTGTCAGGTGCAGCTTCTGCTGCAGGGAAAGCCAGCTTTAAAGACACAGTCTTCCTTCTCTCTCTCCCTCTCCTTCCCACCTACCTCACACCCAGCTCCTCCCGGCTGGCCTCTTTCTCCTCACCTGGGTGGGCACTGGCTGGGAAGCATGCAGCAGAGGAGAGATCGTGGGCTGGAGAATGTTGCTTTACTTGACAGACCCTTGGCAGGCTGTGGATCCTGGCTAGAACCATATGCCACCATACCCTAGCTGTGTGAGCTTGGGTAGGCCACATGACTTCTCAAAGCCTCTTCAATTTTATCTGTAAAACGTGTCCAATAATAGACCCTTTTGTCTCTTGGGGTAGTTATAAGATCTAAGTGAAGCGACCCAAGAGGAGCTCTTTGCATAGTGACTACATGATGAACCCCTACTATGTGCCAGCCTGGGCAGGAGAGGGTTGATTAGAACTAGTCCTTGATGGGACTATAGATGGCAATTGGCAGGAATAAGCAACTTGTTAGAAGCAGAGAGTGATAGAGATGGCTAAAACAGGAGGCTGTGAGTAGGCTATAACCGTATTTCACTCCAAGTGCTGCACTGGAGTGGGGAGGATCAAGGTTTCCTGGAGGAGGTGGCCTTGGAGAAGGCACAGTATTTGAACTGGTGAAGATGCAGTAGAGAGGGCAGAGCAGAAGAAGGGCCCAAGATGTAGAGGCAGAAATTGTGAGGTTTAGGCCTGCTGTACAACCTGCCAAGAAGTGGCACCGAGCACCAGTGACCCGTCCAATGCTGGGCTGTGCTTTACAAACACCGTGGCTTCCAGAAATCATCCAAGCCCGGGGCCGGTGGAATGGCTCAGAGGCAAAAAGCACCTGCTACTCAAGCCTGACAACCCGAGTTTGAGTCCTAGAGCCTATGGAAAGGGGGAAGGAGAGGACTGACTCCACAGCTGTCTTCTGGAATCCACATGTGTTGTGAGCATGCAACTCCCCATGCTAATAAATAAAATTCAAAAGAAAGGAAGGAAGAAAAAAGAAACAATCCAAGCTAATGAGCCTCTAGCTACACAAAAAGCAACCCCAGAGGTAAGTCTCCCAGGCTTCACATTCTAATAAGTCCCTGGGCTCTAAACAAACTTCCAAGAGAGTGTCAACGCTGATCAGTTTTCCACAGGACTCTAGATGCCTCAGAATCAGGGCACCCAGAAGTGAGGGTCCAGGGGCAGTCATGTGCCTGCCCTAATAAGGGAGGTCTGGCAGTGCTTTAGAAAATGGGCAGAGGTCATGAGAGTCCAGGTTAGTGGCTATGGCTATGAAGTAAGGGATGGTGTGGAGGGTTGTGTTCATTCTTTCGCGTGCCTCATTTTCCACATCTGGAGCTGAGGGGTTAGACAGGATGCAAACCCGTTACAATAACCCCATCATCTGGGCAGACATCTTCCAGGCCTGTGAATCGGTGTTCAGCCACGAGGGATCAGACAGGGCCTCTGGTGAAGGACAATTATAACCTCCTGACAGAAAGGCTCATAATTTTTTGTTTTGTATTTTGAGACAGGGTTTTCTCTGTGTAGCTTTAGTGCCTGTCCTGGAACTAGCTCTTGTAGACCAGACTGGCCTCAAACTCACAGAGATCCGCCTGCCTCTGCCACCCGAGTGCTGGGATTAAAGGCGTGCACCACCAGCGTTGGGCCAAGACTCATATTTTAAACACATGTGGCCAGATAGACAACGGAACCCCTCGTAATTATCTGCACCCTGGCCTCAGGAGTGGCAGCTAACACTTGTTCATGTAGTGCAGCCTAACTGAAGCCCACCCCAGGCCCTACTCCTCTGTCTGGCACCCTTTCTTAGAATAAAACCAAATCAAATCACAATCTGGCCCTGGCTACTTCTATTGCTTAGAGTCAGGAGCACTGATCAAGTATGGGGAAGACAGCCAAGCTTCAAACCACTATCCTGAAATGCTGCCTGGACCGTCATGGGTCCATCCCCCAGGGAGGGACCCCAGAAACTGTGGAAGTTGAACTCTTCTCCTCTTTGGTCTCCTGAGGCGTCTCCCGCCCCTTCATTTTCCTGGTTTATCCATCTAATGGAATGCATTGAGCACATATAGATGCTAGGCACGGAGCTGGTGCCCCCAGGCAGTTTGGGTCAGACAGACGTGGCCCTGGAGCTTTTGGGAACAGATAACATGTAGGAGAATAAGTTGGAATTTGTCGCTGTTCTAAAAGACACCCAGCAGAAGTCATCAAAGGAGTGGAGGTGGGGAATCTAATCTGGGAATCACAAAGGGCCTCTCATTCAGCTATGGACTAAAGGTGAGAAGGAGCCAGGCAGGCAAAGAGTCAGAGGGAAGAGAAAAGAACCTGTACATAAGACCTGAAGAAGACTTGGTGGGCCAAGGAGTTCAAAGTGGGCTGGGTCCTGGAGCCTAGTGGCCAAGGTGAGGTCCAGAGCGGGGAGTTATAGAGTCTCCTAGACCTGAGGAAGGAGAGCGCTGTTCATCCTAAACCAGGATGGGAAACCACACAAAAAAATTTAAATGGACTCATCTGCATCTGGAACATTCCTTATAGCCTCGGGACCTCACTTTCCTCGTCAGCGTATCTGCTCTTTAGTTGTCCAAAGCAGACATTCTAGAATATCAGGAGCTCAGAGAGAAGGGAGGAAAGCTGAAGACTGTGTCACTGGGCACTGGATGGGGGGGGCACACAGGGAACTTCCCTTAGCTGTCCCAGACAACGGCACTGCACAAGAGTCCCCTCTGGAAACCTGTGCCTTCAGTGCTGCGGAGGAAAAACTGAGCAGAAGATGGGGAGGGGAAGGGGTTTTCCCGGGGTGGGGGGGGGCTTAGACCCCCCTTCCCCAGCTTCCACCCAGTCCTACTGGAGCATTAGAGAGAAGCCCATGGCTAGAGCAGATTAGAAGGCCAGCCTCTTGCATCCTCAGCCAAATGTCTGGTTCCTGAGAAGTCTTCCTCAAGCCTCCTGGGATCCAAACCTGAAGTCCTGCCCTCCACTCTCAGAGCTAAGAGGAAAACACTTTTGCCACTGGATAGCCACAGCCCTATCTGCATGCAGGGAACAATCTAGAAGTGACGGGTGCCTGAGAGTAGAACTGGGCTGGAAGTTCATGCCCAATGGTAAATGAGGTTGGTGGGACCTCAGATGTCACCCAAGTTGGCAGACTCCACTCCTTTCCTACCCCACTTGCCCACACCTTCCTGCTCACACTGCCGCACAACGACGGCCATTCTCCAAGGCTCTACCAGAGGAGAACCTCCTCATCTCTCCAGAGCCACCTGACCCACAGGAAGTGGCTAGTAGGAGATTAGAAATTGTGCCTGCCTTCCTAGACTTCCATAGCAGACCACAGGGTGCTGGGGGGGGGGGTCGTCCTCCCCTATCACTCAATGAGAAGCTCGTCCCCCATGCTTTTCACGGACAAGACTTCAGGGGGCCTACACACACACACACACACACACACATACACACAGAGCCCACAACATCTACCAAAGGAGAAACCATTGACTTCTCCATCAGCTTTTTCAAGACTCTTTTTTTGCAGCTTTAAACAGGGTAGAAGTCGCCAATGTAACTTTCCCCTGTTCCTTGTTTCATTGGCCAGAAAAGGTGAGCCATCCAGGGAATTGGTTGGACAGAGGATTAGGGCACAGGTAAGGTGTTTGGTCCCCGGCTGGGGCCTTGGGCCAGTGTTTACCATCATTGTACCATAGAGTCTCCATCTTCCAAACAGGGGAGGACAGCACCCATAGCAGGATCTCATGGAAGAGTTCCATGATGTCCGCTGCTATTACTCAAGGCCCAGAAGTGAGTGGTCCAGCCTTGCCCCTCAGACACCCCTGAAGTCAGAGAGGAGCTTCTGTGACCCTTGGACTACTAAGGAGCTACTGATCAAACCCTCCCCGCAGCTGCCCAGGGGAGTCCATGGGTGTGTGGGAAAAATGGAGGGAATGGGGAGGAGGTGGAGGAAGTTCCGGGCTGGCTCCCAGCTGGGGGAAGGGAAGGAGGGGCTGAACATCAAAGAGTAGGCAGGCCAGCTTCCCGCCCTCAAGGCCAGGTGGCCTTTGTCAGGACAGGCCAAACACAATCTGGACAATGAGGTATCCTGTACATTTTCCTGCCAACAGGAGTCACTATTGAGCTAAAGCAAAGCCAGTTACATGACAAAGGGGGGCACCTAGAAAGGTCAGGCTGGCCCTCATTAAGCTGAGCCTTTGTCCAGGTCCAGCCCCATCCCCTGCCTTTGAAGAGGGTGGATCAGAGAGGCCTGCCTGGGGGCAGGAGCTTCACAGGCTAAGGAGCCAAACAGCAGCCACCTTCCCAACTGCTCCTACTGCCCCTCCCCCGGGGTCAAGAGTTCAGGGAGAGTCCTGGGAAGGTTAGGTAGGGACCCCTGTACCAATGCAACCAAAGGGGGCCTTGTCAACCAAAGGATAGGCTCCTATCTCTTCACTGTAGAGTAGGGAGCCAGTTGGTCCTGCAGAGGTGACCTGTGCATGTTCCCACAGCCGATAGGTGCTTGGGTGTGTGTGTGTGTGTGGCGGGTTTAGAAGTGGAAGAAGCTAAGAAAGAAAGATCACCATTGCCAATGCTGCTGCGGAGATTTGGCGTCTGGCCTTCTAATTCCGGCCTTGCCATTTAACACACACCCATGTCCTCTCTTCACGGGGTAGCAGTCTCCCCGTGACTATACAGAAGGATTCAGTTGTGTTGTTCAAAGCTCGCAAAGCCCCTAGATAAGAAAGGGTGAAACAAAATGACTCTCCAGGGCAGAGGTGGTAGTGGACCACACTCTTTTGAGAAGTCAGTCAAGGCCAGGACAGAGGTCAAAGAGGGGGCAGCCTCGGCACCTGCCAGGGCCAGGAGCCGGTCAGAAGGCCCAGGGCGGGAGAAGGGTCCTTACCGCTGCCACCGCCGCCTGCGGTCGCCACGCTGCGCCGCATCCATTCGTAGGGCGTCCGTCTCTGCGCTCCTGGCGAGGACGGTGCGCCCGGGCCGCCGAGGGACTGCGCCAGGAGGCCAGGACCAGGCCCGGGAGGCGCTGGCACCGGGCTAAAGTCCGGAGGGGGCCCGAAGGCCAGCGGGGCC